TGGGAGAGTGATGAAGGAGGCCCCATATTAAGTAAGTTTTGTTAAAGGGCTGATGGAGAAATATCAGACCCATGTGTAAGGGTTCCTGTTAACCAAAACAAACCTTTGAATTCTTCATGCCCATACTTGCCATTTAGTAGATAAAGCAACTGAGTTCCCAGGAAGTCCACTAACCCACTGAGAGTCACACTGTGAAGTAGTGAGGCCAGGCTGACTGCAAAGCTAAATTCTCATCTCTATGTAATCTACTCCTATCTTTGAAGGCAAGACTTTTATGCTGCTTTGTAAAGGAGTCCCTGACACTTCTGTTTTCTCTAATTCCCTTTTCCTACCATATATTTTTTAAAAGATTTATTTATCTATGCATACAAGAACTGGGGTGTAAGCCAGAGGTGTGGGGTTGTGAGGATTTACCAGAGAGAGTGGGGAGCAGAACAGACAGATGTGCTGAAATACACTGCTGAGTGGAGCAATGGGCAAGACAGGAGAGGTCTGCTGCTGAGCCTTGTGGGTCAGCTTCCTGGCCTGTGGGGGATCAAACACTTGCTGGGGTGGCTGGTGATAGCTTCATAGCACTGTCTTTAACCCCGGCGCCACTGGGAGGCCCTTGCTACCATACGTTTTAATGTTATTTTCTAAAAACAATTCCCAGTGCTTTACCAGAAAATTCATTTTTTTTCCAAGGAATAATTAGGTATTTTGTGGAATAAACAAACAAACCTGTAGGCCTTTGTTAGAGGTATAGATATAGGAAAGGTAACACATTCCAAAAAGTGTTGACTGTATAAAATAAACTATAAATTAAAAAAAGGCAATAGGAAAATTATTAGATGAACATTTAGCTTTCAAGTAGAATGACCTATATGGAGTTACATGAGCATGTCCTAGGTGAATTATGAAATGATTTTATTCTCTACCTTTATCCTTTTGTGTGTGTTGGGGTAGGGGGCTCAGTGTGCTCTCACTTGACACTGCACTGAGAACTTAATAAAGCTTCTTGATTATTAATGGCATTGCATACCCAAAGTAAAAATAACCTCAAAGTAAAAATAACCTCGTACAATGGCCTGGTAGGCTCATAGTCTACAAAGTACACTCTGCCTATATGATTCCATTCAATTCTCAGTAGTCTTCTGAGTTAGAATGAGTATCATCCCTTTTCACGAATGGTTTGAACTGCAAGATATTTTACAGCTTGCTTGGGGCAGAAGAGCTGGGATCCATGCCCATATCAGTTGATTCCCTATTCTCTCTTTTTTCCCTTCAGCCACACAGCACCTCCCTAGAGGCACTCATTAGATGCTGTCTACTCTCCTAGGGTCTGTACCATGGGGTATTGCATCCAGCAAGGAATGTGATCTGAAGTAGCATTTTAACAGCTGCTATCACAGTAGCTCCTGCTCTTCCCCAAATGGCATAATTATCTGTGATTCACCTCAGTTTTCCAACCCGTCTAGTGTTCAAACAATGATTCATTTAAATTTAGACATCAGGCATGGTCAGTAGGATGGGCACTTCCTTGATATTGCACCCCAGCCTCTTGCAGCAACCTTGTTAACTCACTGCTCTAGCACAGCAGCTTTGTACCTACCTTCTCACCAGAACTGACTGCCAACAACACACAAAAGCAGCCCTGCTGTAATTAAGTATTGATTTCATGTAACATGTGTATACAAAGAAATCTCATCTCATTTCTGGGTTGCTGTTATCTGTCGCTAAAACAAAACATGTGATTATTGGTGGATATCCTATGGCTATCTAGGGAGAATTGCCACTTCTAATCCATCTAACTGAAGTGACATTATGGTACGCCATTCAAGAGTGGACCATTTGTCTTTACATGGCCTCTGCCGCTGTTGGCCTGCTTTTGTCTCCAGAAATAGCTACACTTATTCTACCTGCAACTCCTTCTTAGTTCCATTTTGGCCTTGTCAGACTAGCGAAGTCTATTTACTATAAGGTAACATGGCTATGACTGTTAATAAATGAAATAGCAAATACTAATCATTTTCTGGTTACTTTGCCATGGTTACACCTCCTGGTAGTGTTCTGGCAATCCTCTAGTCCCAAAAGATCAGGACCAAAAAATTTGGATGGAAACAAAGTTGATACCATTAAGAAATGCTGGTAAGTTCTTGAGTTCCCCATAACTTTTATGCAGCATTTATGAGCCCTTGGGCAGAATTGAGATTGCTCAGCTTTGTAAATTTGATAGGTAGGTATATTGGGGTGAGAACCCCTTATGCCTGCTAGAGGAATGAAAGCCTAAGGAACTGAAACCAGAGTCTCTCTTAATTGTGTGATTTCTCTTTTCATTTGACAGTTTCATTCCTATTGAGCCACTGGCTGTCTTGATTAGGAACTTTCTCCCAACAGTGGAATGAAGTTTCTAAATAAAGAGATATGAGCTGTTTGTGTAGGTATCTTTGCTTGGTGGAATTTTCCATCATGGGGCTGAAGGTTGGATGAAAGAGACCACATAGGTAATCACTTTGCCTTCTCTACTTGCTCAAAATATTGGCCTGAGGTATTGGGAGATAAACCAATTAAAAAGTCTTATTTCTAGTTCTACTTCTTTTAAAATACGTGGTTTTATCTATTGCTTGCTGCTACTTAAAAGTACTTCCTTTAGGTGTTCTTTCTTGCTGCCATATAAAGGATTAGAAATAACATTATGGGCAGACAGGTATTAGAGAGGAATGCTTCCAATCCTGTGTAGCATTGTGGGTTATTTAAGAGTGAACCATTTGTCTTCACATGGCCTCTGCTTCTGTGCCTGCCTCTGTCCCTAGAAATAACGGCATAGATTCTTCACTGCAACTCCTTCTTAGTTCTTAGTTGAGGTTCACACTGAACTCCTCAAGTTCCATTTTAAATGTCGCTTTATCACGGCCCATTCGCCTGGGTGAATGAAGAGTCTGAAGCTCGGGAATGATAAAAAATTTCCAATCACAGATTGGAGGTGTCAGTTACATCTAAATATGTCACTCAGAAATCTGTAGTGAGAGCCAGAATAAGTATAAAAATAAGATAATTTTTCTTAAACGTCCTTCACTCATACATTTCAGCAGAGATCTTTAATGGGCCATATCAACAAAAATATTGCACAATCAATAATGTTTCTTTTAGAAAACATAATTAAAACAAAAAGGCACCCTACTGAATGGTAGAAAACACTCACAGACCATACTTCTGACAAAGGGCTAATATCAAAGATCTACAAAACACCCACACAACTCAACAAAAACAAATAACCCAATTAAAAAATGGTCAGAAGAGTGAAATACACACTGCTCCAAAGAAGACATTCAGATGGCCAATAGGCACATGAAAAAATTTCATCTTCACTTATAGTCAGGGAAATGGAAGTCAAAACCACAGTGAGGTACCACCTCAATCCTGTGAGAAAGGCCCACATCAAAAACATGAGAAACAATATGTGCTCATGAGGATGTGGGGAAAAAGGAACTCTTTTATACTGTTAGTGGGAATGTAGAGTGGTCCCGTCCCTGTGGAAAATTGTATGGAGGTTTCTCAAAATATTAAAATAAATCTGCTATATGGCCCAGCAATTCTACTCATAGGTATCTACACAAAGAATACAAAAACACTAGCTGGAAGGGAAACTTACATTCTCATGTCCATTGCAGCACTATTTACAATAACCAGACTAGGTGCTCAAAATCAGATGAATGGATCAAAAAGATGTGGCATATATACACAATGGAATATTACTCTGCAATCAAAAAGATAAATTCGTGTCATCTGCTACAAAGTATGGCATATAGTAAATATGCATTGAAGCATCCTGCCATAACACTGCCTAGTCTACTGGGTGAATGTGATTTGGAGTCCTTTCCCAAGCTTAGTTGCGCTTCTTTCATACATTTCAACTGTACAGGCTATCTTTGAGATAGTATCAGAACCACACCTGAACTATTGGAAAATGTCTTGAGTGGTTGTTTAAAGGGGTTCTTTCAGAGAAGAGTGATGAAGCTGGTGACAAATCTGAGCAGGTCTAAGAATCATTTGGGCACTTGTTGAATCTCTGCATAATCTAGGGCCCCACCCCATGGTATCTGATTTGGTAGGGTCCTGAAATTTGCATGATTACTATGCTTTTCAGATGATGATGATAATGTTTTTGGACCACACATCAAAAAAAGCTTCCAGAAACATGTCAACATAAGAATCCCTGTGTACTTGAGATTGTCAGCTGGGAAGGGCCACTCGTGAGTGATAGTAGAATAACTTTTAAATTGCCAAATATGTGATATGGACAAAATGATATTTTTTTTCTGGAGCCTAAAAGTCAAAATAGGGGCTGAATGGTAGAAATTCTAGGCCAAAAAAATTTCAGCTTAATATAGTTATTTTCTGTGAAATTAATCTATCTAAGGGTGGAATATACTTCTAAGAGTGGTGAGTCCTCTAGCTCAAGTTTGTCTTTTAAGTGGCCTCTAGGAATTTTACATAGAAGAAATTATCTCTTGCCCTTATTCCCTATAGTACTTAATTACTTTCATTGCAGCTGTTTACCTGTGGGTCTAGTACATTCACTCTCACAAGTGTATTAATCTGAGTCTGTGGAGTGGAAGTACAAAAGTGCTGTATGAATCCAGGCAAATGTGTAGCAGATGCTATTGTTAGGAAAGGAGAAGGAGTTGGGCTTCAATATCCACGTGAGAGGAGATCAATAGGCCTATCAGGCCATGAGAAAAGAGGGAGGGGTTACCCACTGGGGGCCAGGGAGAGGGGTGAGTGGATTAGTGTGATCTGAGAAGATTCACATTGACATTGAACAGAATAAGCAGTTTTCGTTTTCTTAGAATTTTCTACCTTTCTCTTCAGAACTATGAAATTTCAGTTGCCTCTTAGAAATAAAATGGGTTAATTAACACTTTTTTTTCTTGGCTACCTCTTTTCTTCTCCCTTGAAATTGTCACTATTAATGTATATAAGGTAAGGTATTCACCCCCATCTCCCCTTTTTCTTCAGAAGCCACTCAGACTATGTCTTCTCCTTCTTACTCTCTCTCAAGAAAGAGAGGAAGGATCGTTGATGACAAAGTGCAATGAGGTAACACCAAGAGCCAGTTTCACACTCAGGAGAAACACTGTGCCCCTCTCATGGAAGATGTTCCCCTTTTGTTTTATTACATACTTTTATGAGGAAAGTTGATTTCGCCCAAACGGAAGTCTGAGTAGCTCTTCTCCTTCCAGAATTCCAGAATAAAAAGCACCATATTCTAGAATCCAGACTTACTTTGTTTTTAAAACTACAAACTGGCTAGTCACACCAAGATGATCTTAAGTGATTCTAGAGTTGATGGCATCCAGGTAATTCGTTAAAAGCTTGCATGTGCCAGGTATTAGACCTACAGATTTTTGTCACTCGTTGTCCTTGGAAAACCTTGTTAAACAAATGTGTGAAATTGTGGTGAATGGTTGGTTCCTTGTTGTATCTTCTCTCCTCTCTCTACTTCGTTAATAATAACTATTTATTTGGCATAAGGATACCTTATAAAATGTTCAGAGTTTCTAAAACCTCAGCACAGAATGGGACTCTCTAAATGGCCTAGTTTTAGAAGTTGCCATCAGCAGCAGACTTTGCTGAATTGTACTGTATGTGTTTAATAATAAGGTTTTCTTTTTCTGTAAACTATTTCTTGTGGAACTATTTTCTGCCATGCTGAGGTTACAGAAAAATGTCATTTTTCTGTCACTGTTGGTGTTCTTCAGGTCCCCACTTTTAAATGGATGTGCTTTGGGAGACCTAGATGGTTATCTACATCAGAAAAACACCTTACTCTGGGCCCCATCAGGTGACTTGGACAAAGCAATGCAATTTAGATAGGGGAAATGGTATGTATTACGCTTTATAAGAGCCAGTTTCCAATAATAACCATCTGACCCTTGTGATCCTATGTTTTCAATTTTCTTTTTAAAGAAGGCAATGAGCAGTGCTGCCAAAGCACATTTTTCTGTCAAGTGTTTACTGATTTGTGAGTTGCTGGGAAGATATTCTGTCTTCTGTGTTAGAAGACACCAATATCAAATACTTAACTTTTTTCTCTTAGAATAACTTCTCATGCAACTGTATCATGGCATATGCTAAACTCCAGGCTTAGAGTTGAAAAGAGAAGCCCTAAGTATGAGCACAGAGAACTAGGGGCATCTTCTGATTTGACCTGGATTTTTGGCTTTTGTTTTGATCTTTTTGAGTTGGGTACGAGTTCTTTTTCTGTTAATTCAAAGAATAAACATGTAGCCCAGGGCTCACACCAAAATATATGTATTATGTACATAGCATTTTCCTCTGCTACATGCTATTCTGGGGCCATTTATAGAACATGTTCTATTTAAAAACCTGTTTAATAAAGTAGCAGGGAGGTAGGTTTGATATTCTATGTAACTTCCCCACCTGCCAACTAGGACATCACTCTGAGTATGTCTATTCAAGAAGATGTTTAATTTGAAAGAAAAAAAAGCCACTTCTGGGAAATGTTCTGTTTCTTTCTACACTGTCTTGACCTCCAGGGAAAGAAGTCCAGGTTACTTAGATGTCACTTGACTGGGTAAAAATGTTGAGCCACATCCTGTCTCCCTGCCTTTTCTTTCTCTATCAAAGAACAGTTTGACCTTAGCATTGTTGTTGTAGTAATTATCTATTGCTGCATAACACATTACCTCCACATTTAGTAGATTAAAGCAATTAATATTTATTATCTCCCAGTTTCTGAGGGTCAGAAGTTTAGGAATGGCTTACCTAGGTAATTCTTGCTCAGCGTCCCTCATGAGATTGTGGTTAAGAGGTCAGTGATGCTGCAGTGATCAAAAGGCTTGACTAGAACTGTACGATCCACTTCCAAGACAGCTCACTCACTTGGCTCTTGGCAGGAGGACTCCGTGTCTTTCTTTATGAGCCTTTCCACGGTGTCCTTAGGATATGGCAGCTGGTTTTCCCAGAGCAAAAGGCAGAGAACAAACAGGAACCACAGTGGCTATTATGAATTACCTCCAAAGTCATATAACTGTCACTTCTTCTTTACCCTACTTGTTAGAAGCAAGTAACATAATCTACCCCACACTCAAGTGTAGGAGAATTAGACTCCATCTCTTGAAAAGAGGAGTATCTTAAAATTGGGGAGCACTTTAAATCTATCACAGTTGTACTAGTCATTTAAAGTTTCAAAAGAGCACACAAGGGGCCCCCCAGGTGGCACAATGGGTTAAGACAGAGCACTATGAAGCTATTTACAGCCACTGCAGCATGAGTTTGATGCCCAGCCAGGGACATGACCCACGTGGCGCAGCAGACCTCTCCTGTCTCGCCCGCTGCTCCCCTCAGCAGTGTGTTTCAATCAATCTATCTGTTCTTTTCCCCACTCTGTCTCTGGTGAATCCTCTCAACCCCCACACCTCTGGCCTGTACCCCAGTTCTTGTATGCATAAATAAATAAATCTTTAAAAAAAAAAACAAAAGAGCACACAAAATTGTTTCATAAGTGTTCTTGATGGTGGCAGTGTCTTTCTTGTCTGTCACTAAATGCACAGTGGAAATCTTGCTCTAGAAGAACTATAGTATGTTATCAGCCTTGTGCAAAATCTCTTCTTTCCACTGTTATCCTATTGCATTCTGGGAAGAATTTGACTTAGGCAGTAGAGAAATGACAATGAGCTGAGATATTTGCTGTACTCAAACACTCCCCCATGGCTTCAAGACTTCCCATCATCATATGCTCATTACCGTGAGGATGGTATCACTGAAGAGCAAATATAATTGCCATTTATTTTGTGTGCATTGTGGAGAGAGAGCAGGATATCTTTAAATTTGTGGTTCTTCTTGGTAAGGCAATTTTAAACAAACCACATAGTCATAAAGTTTAGATGAGAGCATCAATATGAGTATTTTGGTATAGAAGTTAGGACATTACTAAGGCTGTTTATTTATATTTAACTCTTGAGAAACTAAGTGTTTCTAAATTGTTAAGTTAGGGACCTGTTAGTGAGAAAGGTAATAATCTGAAGCTTCTTTCTTTCTATTTTACCTGTTACGTTAACATACATTGAAACTATTTTTGGCACACAGATCTATGAATTATAACACAGGCTGACATTTTTGTAACCAACACCTCAATCAAAATGCCAAGAAGGTTCATCACCCGAAACATCTCCCTCTTGCTATCCCTTCATAGTTGTATTTCCCCCCAACCCTAAACTCTTTTCACCCTCTGATTTTTTCCTCCATTACCATAGTTTTATCTTTTTTTAAGAGTGTTTCATAAATTATTTGTGTAGTATGTAATCTTCTAAGGTTAAATTCTTCCGTTCAGCACAATGCTTTTGAGATTCATCCAATGTTCTATGAGTATGCATAATTAACTCTTTTTTGTTGCTAAGCAATATTCCATTGTATGGATGTACATACTTTATTTATATAGTCCCTGTGGAAGGATATTTGAGTTGTTTCCAGTTTTTGGCAACTATGAATAGAGCCATTATACACATTTATGTACAAGTGTTTAAATGAATATAGGTTTTACTTTTCCTAGGGAAAAAATGTGGGAGTGGGATTATTAGGTCACATGGCAATTGAATGTATAATTTTGCAGAAGACTGTCAAACTGTTTTCTAGAATGGTTGTACCATTTCACATGTACATCAGTAATAAGAGTTCAGTTGTTTCACATGATTACACTACCACTAGGAATTCTCAGAATTTTCATCTTAGTCATTTGGTTACGTGTGCAGTGGTATCTAATTATAGTTTTAATTGGCATGTCTCTAATGGCTGATGATATTGATCATCTTTTCGTGTGTTTGTCTCTATATATCTTCTTTGATGAATTGTCATTCAAGTTTTTTATTTTTAAGTAGGCTATATTTTCAATTTTGTGAGTTACTTTTATATTGTGGTTTTGATGTAATGTGTAAGAACTCTGCCTAAATCCAGGTCATGATATGATTCATTTATTCTAATTTTTTTTTTTTTTACTTTGCCTTTACATCTGTGATCCATTTTAGTTGAATTTTGCATAATACATGTAGTTTAGACTGGGAATTCTCTTGGTTCTCTCTCCCCCTCACACCCTTTCTAGAATATGGATGTCCAATTGTTCTAAGACTATGTTGAAAACACTATTTTTCTCCATTGAATTGTCTGAGCACCTTTGCCAAAAAATTAAATGGCCATATTGTGTTGCTTTATTTTTGGACTCTTATTCTGTTCAGTTTTCTTTTTTTTCTGTTTCTTCATATGCTGAGAAATATAGTATGATATCCTGGACATTTTGAATAGAATGCTATGAGACTCTGGGGCTTGTTTCAATGTTATGATGAATATTGATAGGTCTGCTCTAACAGACATTGAAACTGTTTAGGTTCATATTACAAGTTCCAACCAGATTTCTTGAGATTGTGGTTTCAATGCCAAGTTCATCTGCAAAGACTTTATAATGCTATTCAGTATCAATAATAGCATCCAATAGCCAGGCGGGGACGTAGGGGGTTGTCTATAGTTTTTTGTGGAGGTCAGATCCATGCATGGGCCACATGGTGGTAAGTCTGGAATTCATGAATAACTTCCGAGGTTCTTTTTCCCAAGCTCCTTTTCTCTATTCCCCCTGTTCCCTATAACTTCCCCTTTCCACCTTCCATTCAGAAAACTGGGGCTTTATTTATTCTACTCTCTTGCATATTTCCTATGTCTGCACCCTTATCCAGGGCATGCAACAGAAAGACAGCAAAGAGAAAAATAAAAATAAGTAGTAACTAATAACTTTGCCCCCAAAGTCTTAGAGACCACATTTCTTTGATCAGCCAAGAAACTTCCCCTTTCTTAAATTTGTAGGTGCCTGCAGACAACCTTAGTCTGTGTGCAAGAGAATGGTGAGAGCAAGAAATAAATAAAACTAGTTTTCCCCACTCTGTCTATCTTTCCCACTCCTCGTGCCAGAACTAGAGAGCTTCTTCTGGAGCTCTCTGTCTGTGCCCTCTACCCCTTTCTGAATTTCAGGTCTCCTTGAGTTTGGGCTTGAGGGGATGCTAAAGAGAAAAAAAAGATAACCTAATTTTTATCGCTGAGGCAGTGGAAAAGGTTGTCCTCCAATTTTAAGGAAATTGGAAGAACTCTATGTGATGTCATGCCTCTGGGACCTGCATACTGGAAAAATAATCTTTCATGACCAATTAATTAATCTACAGTTTCAAAATGAT